AAGCCATTCCCCCTTGCCCTGTCTTGTAGTCTCTCTCCATCTTTCTTGTAGGCTCCCTTCAGATAGTGGAAGGCCACAATAAGGTCACCCAAAAGCCTTCTCTTTTCCAAGCTGAACAATTCCAATTCACTTGCCCTTCCTCAACTTCAGAAACAGACTTTATGTCGGACAAGCCTTCACCAAACTTTTGCAAATGTGAACATTTTTCTGTTCTTCTGACCTGTCCATAGTAGTAAATATATCTGGCCTCAAAGGTGAGGCAAAAAGGCAAAAAAGGCAAAAAATCACAGAATAATAGCATTTGCTGAGTTGGAAGGGATTCACAAGGATCATCAACTCCTGGTCCTGCACAGAACACACCAAGAACCACACCATGTGCCTGGGAGCATTGTCCAAACGCTTCTTGAACTCTGTCAGGCTTGGGGCTGTGGGTACTGCTCTGGGGAGCTGTTCCAGTGCCCAAGCACCCTCTGGGTGAAGAGGCTTTTCCTGATATCCAACCTAAACCTCCCCTGACACGGCTTCAGGCCATTCCCTTGGGTCCTGTCACTGGTCACCAGAGAGAAGAGATCAGTGCCTGCTCCTCCCCTTCCCCTCAAAAGGATATTGCAGACTGCAATGAGGTCCCTTCTCAGTCTCCTCCAGGCTGAACAGACCAAGTGACCCCAGCCAGTCCTCATATGGCTTCTCATCAAGGCCCTCACCATCCTCACTGTCCTCCTTTGGACACTCTCTCTAGTTTAATGTCTTTTTTCTACTGTGACTCAGAACTGCCCCCAGCACTCGAGGTGAGGCCATCCTAGTGCAGAGCACAGCAGGACAATCCCCTCCCTTGCCCGGCTGGCCATGCTGCGCCTGATGCACCCCAGGACACACTCAGCCCTCCTGGCTGCCAGGGCACTGCTGACACATGTTCAACTTTATGTCAACCACCACCTTAATAATCATTAAATTAACTTCTTCATGAATGCAACCTGTGGAAAATCACCAAATCTACGATAATGTGGCAAAAAGCTGTCACAGGAAGTTGTTGTACCTTATTACTGCTGTCACTCCAATACGAACTTACAATCTTCATACTCTCATCACAAGCCAGAATTTCTTGAGCTTTTTGTTTTCAACTTGGGCACACTTGCTAGAAAAATACACTCTCCTCACCAAATCAGCATAACTGGTGATTTCCAAGATTGAAATGAGTGCAAACAAGCAAATGTTATTAAAGATATCTCAGATATTACATATTACATGTGCCATTTAAATCATTGTTATTTGCTGAGACTAATAGAAGTGTTTAACTTCTTGTATCTGCTCATGCACAAATCTTTTAAATGGAATTTATTGTAAAATAAAACAAACCATTGTTCATGAAAAGTTTGCAGAGGAACATTCACCATCCTCTCCTTGAGCCACAACACTTAATTACTGCTAGAGATCTTTCGATAAAAACCAAACAGTATAAGCCTGATTCACGGCTCAGCCTATGCCCATTTAGTTAAAAATCAATCCACACCCAAAGCATTGCCGATAATTTTATCCTGGGAATAACCAGTGTTGATAATAGCGTCTGGAGCATGCTGAGGTACTTCTCTTCCCTTGCATAACCATTCACCTATAAAAGCCCACACTGCCTTTGCCAGCAGGCACAAAGCACGTGCAACCTAATAGTCACCGTGTAAGACAGGAAAAAACATCTGGGAGGAGGAGATCAGGTTCCTAATGCTTATGTCACTGTCACTCTTCTTTTATGTATCTATTAGACAAGTCACAGCCTAAACTTCTCATCTGTGCTGCACACTGGCTTCAGAGCTGGCACTAAGGTGCTCCTTTGAAGAAACCTAATTTACTCCAGCTCCTAAGTTTTTCTTCTCCACCTGGGAGAACAAGGAATGGAAAGTAACAGTATTATTTATAAAAACCCTACACACATGCACATCCACAAAACTGATGCTCTAGGAATCCTCGCCCTGTGACACAAATCACACTGCCCTTTCACTCTCTGCTGCTCTTCTCTGTCCATGCTTCCTTTTTCTTCCAGAAAAGCAAAGTTTTTACCCACCCAACATACTTTATGCACTCACTGAAAGCTTCTCTTCCCAAGGCCTGTGCATATTGAGTTGGCAGGCTACCAAAACCTGCTAACAAATGGCAGATTAAGTGGAAACACAGAAAAGAATTTCAAGCATGTATTATACTAGCTTGGGGTTCAGCCTGCAACTTTAAGATGAGGGCTGCCCTCTAACCAGGCAGGCCTGGGAATTCAGTTGCAAAACAATTACAGATGCAAGGAAAATACTTTTTCTCTGAAAAGGAAACTTGATGATATTCTGCAGTCTTCAGTAGGCTAAGTTCAGTGTGTGCTGGGGAAGAGCTCAGCAGGATCTGTGTTCTCTCGAGACCTCACTTTCCATCTCCAGCACTGTTCTCCGAGGGATTTATAGCAAAATTAAGTAAAATTTTTCACATGTCAGCCTCTTACAGATGCAGGAGCAGGCTTTAATCCTTTTCAATCACAGTCAAAACAGTACCTCTATGCCTAGCTACTGTCTTGCCTTCATATACAAGAATAATGAGGCACTTCATTCAGTCCTGCAGGTCACAGGCAGTCATTGGCTGGACAATGAAATTTCAAGTGCCATGCCTGTATATAAATTAGTTACTTGTGTTTTCTTGATGAGCCTTATTTTGGCTGCATGGCTATCTTTCTCATAATTTTAAAGTTCTGGTTTTAAAAGAAGATCCTACTTTGCAGCATCAAAGCAAATATCCTCAGGATATAATTGTCAAACCTGTCTAGCATGCCCAGCCTTGCTGCACATGATTACACTGGCAAAATTACCACCAACTCCGGTGGGCACAGTGCTGAAGTTCAGCACCACAACTCTGCCTGTGTTATCTGAGATTTCCTTTTCTTTCTAAAACTGGAATGTTTGCACAGGGTGTGCAGTGGGAAGAGACTCTCCCACTCCTGATTACACCGAACTTGCTGCACACATTCTTAGAAAAAAACAACAAAAAACCACCTTGCTCACATCACCCTAGAGGAAATGGGCTCAAGTTGTGCCAGCAGAGGTTCAGACTGAATATTAGGAAAATTTTCTCCACCAGAAGGTATGTCAAGCATTGGAACAGGCTGCTCAGGCAAGTGGTGGAGTCACCACCCCTTGAGGTTTTTAAAGACATATAAATGTGGCATTTCACAACTTGGTTTAGTGGTGGACCAGGCAGCGTTAGGTTTACAATTGGCCTTGAAGATCTTACAGATCTTTTCCAGCCTAAATGGCTTTGTGATTCTGTGAAAAGTTCTTAGTCCACAATCTAAGAAAGCAGTTGAGAACACAGGATCAGTGGATGGGAAATACATCCAATAAATCAGGACTGATGTTCTCAAGCCCACATGACGTAGCGTGCATTGTTAAAGGTCAGGAAACTTGTACAAACAGCAATTTCAAAAAGAAAAACTTTCTGCATCCAGTGTTTCTCTAAAAACTCCGAGTCTCACTGTTGGCCTCAAAGGAACTATTTTTTATACTGCATCAACTAAAAGAAAAAGAAGATGGACTGACCTCAATTTTGACCTTATACTGACTGGTTCACATTCCTCCATAGTTTATTTACCCTGAAGTTCATAAAAACAATGTGGCTTTTCAGTCTAATAGGTTATTTTCAGCTCTAACTAATCAGAGCTCATGACTGGCTTTGGAACTGTAAGAGTCATACAAAAGCTAAGATTGATTATTAGCATCCAAATGTGTTAAAGTAATTAAACCTACCAAAAACCCCAAAAACAATACACCAAAACAAAAACTTCCAACAGGTAAGAGCAGAAGAAAATTGAAGGAAAATAAACAGCACTGAGGATTTTAATAAATCTGTATCTGAATGTCTTTAGAAATAAGTAGCTGAAATGAGATTGAAAGTGCAACCCAATACAGCACAAATACAAGAATGTCTGCATTGAAATTCCATAACTTTTCTTTATTCACTGTGATACATTCAAACAAAAGTGCTCCAGATAACATCCACAGAGTAAAGGAAATTAAAACAAAAAGTCAGAAAAAAACCATCAGATACATATGGTGATTATTCATATTTCAAAGCATTAGTAACTGCTTGTATCTGAGTGCACCAAAAACCCACATGAGAGTCCACATTTTTGTACACTGCTTCTATAAAAATAATAATCATAGGCAGCTCCAGCATAAATGTTTGTCAGAACTAGAGCCAAAGCCACCACAAAGATAAAGCACCATCAGGCAAATGTTTACAAATGCCGTAGTAATTAGTAGAGTGTAAAAAAAGGCTTAGCTGAATTAACATTTTCCTTGTATTGGTATAGCACAGGGAAGCTCTGCTTGGATTCACTCCTTCCCAGCTTTGATATTTCTCACCAGGAACATGCATTTGCCCCACAAGACCAAGCACCATGGGCAGCTTGGGAAGCTTCAGGAGTCAGTGAGGGATGGATGGAAGAGGAACAGGAGCCGGTCTCTATCCTCCTACTTTAAAAAATCATCTTGGCAGGGCAGCATGTCCTCAACCATGTCACTGAAATACAGTGGCACAATCCACCTAAGAAAGGCTGGCTGCACAGACCATGTTGATTTCCAAATACTGTTTGCTGAGCTACAGCATTTGGCAGCACTGGTTTTACCCCAAAAAGACAGTTCTTGTTTTCAACTCTAATTCTTCTACAGTAAAAGTATCACTTATCTGTAAGAGACAGCAGAGGATCACTTAATAGCAAACCCAGGCTGCATCCTATAAAGTGGTTCTATTCCAGCTGCAGAAATCCTGAACTGTGCATTTGCTAAGAATTATTTGTAACTCAACAGCTAGGTGGGGAGGAATATTCCTTTTCAAAAGCCACAAGAAACATTAGTCAAGATGCCCAAATTACACTGTCAATGGGATATGGCTGAGAGACACTTTTAAGTCTAGAGTCCCTCTATGTGGTGTACTATTAGGTAGAACAGCAAGGATCTTCAACAAACAGGGAAGACAGGCTTCCCCTCTGAAAATCTGAGTTGCTGACATGAGATTTTCCTTAAAAGGCCTAAGTAGGTCATAAACAGAAAAGCCCCTTTCCCCACATGCTTTCTAGTATATTCATAGGGATCCTGCTCCTTCATAGGTCCCAGCTCCTACATGGATTTAATCCCACGTGCAATCAGTGTTTCTCAAAGCAGGATGTAACTGCACTGATCATATGACCAACATCATCTTCACAGTCAAATCATTACAACATCAAGGTCTGTCTGCTCAAAAAGCATTTTTCTTAACTGTGTTACTAATAAAGTCTCAAATCACTCAGGCTGAAAGGAAGTTAGAAGTGTTATGTGGTTATTTACCCTTCACGCTATTTGTGTGGCATTCATCTCCCACGGCACATGCCTTGCCCTTTTCACACTCCCTTTTCTCATGCAGGAACACAAAGCTGTAATGTTTGGGTTGCAAACACCATTAAATGCCCCTCTTCAGCCCCCAACAGCATAGAAATATTTTCTTTTAAAAGTTCAGATCAAAGCATTTCTACTAATCCTAGGATTTATTAAAACAAACATTGTAGGCATGAGATAGTCAACAGCGTCCCTTTTACAAGATTCTTTGGAGACGGTTCTGTTTTCATACTGTTTACTGATCCGCCCCTAATTAATCTTCAGTTGCTCAGCTGCAAATTCAGCAAGTCCACCTGCTCCTTCCCCACCCAGCAGACGTTCCTTTCTCCCCAGTTTCAGGCTGTAATGATAGCACCACCCAGTCCCTGTCCCAAGAACAAGGTGGCTGGCTTGAAAAGCTACATATAACCTCTTGATGTTACGTGATCCCATGCATTTGCAGCACAAAGTCTAGCCTTTCCTCAGATGAGTAACTAAAACCAGTCATTAAGTGCTTTCATGGAGTTTCATTGTCTTTATCCTTCCCTGCAGTCAAGGTAGTTGCCTTTGATCCAGTAACAGATCTGTGCGTATTTGAGCGGTGTGATGCGAACAGCTACATTGAAATCCTGCGGGGTGCCATTCATGTCCACCCACTGATGGCCTGAAAATATACCAATAATTTTACGCTCCCATTTGTGATTCTGCCTCTTCCACATCCTCACATACACCCCAGATCCACTGGCACCCGGCTGGGCATCGCACTGCTGGTACAGCAGGTCGTACGTTTCGTCTTTGACATCGCAGAAACGGTAAACCAGGTTTCCTGGACGGTCATTGTCGTAGCCAGAGAAGTGAATCCTCCCTCCAGGTAAGTGTCTTGCTGGTGGGCTCACGCCAATCTTCATAAACTTTCTCTTATGTGGCTTCTTCAGCTCCAGCAGGGCATAGTCATAATCCATGCCGATGTCATTGGCATTGCCTTTGATCCATCCTTTGGGGACATGCGTCCGTTTCACACGGATCCACTGGAATTTCATTTTCTCAGGCATTGCCGAGTTGGTGATATTGGACCCCTTGCTGCCATCTTTCTGTTTGGGCTTTAGGAACCCCACCCGCAGTTTCTGAGCTCCCTTGACGTAACTCTTTCCGTCATGGATACAATGAGCAGCAGTAAGAACGTGCTTTTCGGCCACCAGCGTCCCCGTGCAACCCGTAGAGAGCTTCACCGACGTGGAGAACGGGTAATTCAACAAGAAGTCTTTCCCAAAAATGCTAAACCTGCTGTCATAGCCATAGATCTGCCTCTTAGTTCGAGCTCTGCCTCGGGAGCCGTCGCCGCCGTTGCTCAGGATGTAGATGCCCACCTCAGTTTCCGTGAGGCTGCCGTTGGCGTACAAGGTTTCGTAGGACAGGTAGTTCTTCACCTCCTCGTACGTCGGCAGCGGAGAGCTTTTGTGGCATGCCGGGCCACACGGAGATACCACTTCCAGTCTGGCTTCAGCATCAAACTGGGGCCTGTCCAAGTTCAGGGTAGACTGCGGCAGGATAACGGGAACTCTGTAAGACGGCCAAGTTGGCTTCCAGTGAGGACTGGAAGGCATCACATCTTTAGCAGCACACAAAAGGAGGATTAAAGTGGACAAGGCTGCCATTCTGAACGTCGGTCTGTGGAAGGCAAAAGCAAATACAGTTATTCACCCAAACCCACTGCAAGATTATCCTACCTTGCTAAGTAGTGGCTTGCTAACCCAGTATAAATGTAATAAGGGTCAAGCAATTTGAATGGAGTTAACTTACATCAAGTAGCTCAGATTTCTCAGTGCCAAACTAATGCCTTAGCCGGAGTCTCAAAACAAGTCTCCCAGGTTAACACTGAAATACAGGACATTTAACCCTCAGGTGTGCTGAGCCAACAACTCCCAGCTGACATCAGTGGGAAGTTATAGTACTTGTCCTCACACAGTTTAAAGAAAATTCAGATTCTGTTTAAATCCATTCATCCAGTAAACAGAGCTCCTGCAAAAAGGAAATATGTCTGTCTTCAGCTAGATTAGAACACTCTCTGAAAGCTCTCCCCTGCTCTCTGACTTTGCTGAAAGATGTCCTTTAAATCCCTTCACACCATTTGCTGTCTCAGCCAGAGACACCAGGCTGATGGCAGGGACAGGTGGGGAGGGACAAAGAAGGTGACCTGACAGGGGCTGTGCTGCAGAACACAACCACAGAGGAGACTCACCTCCCCTTGCAGCTCACAGCAGACAAAGGCTCTGCACCAAGTGGCACTGGCTCTCCCCGAGGCTTACATGAGAAAGGGTGATATGATTACACACAGGCAGCTAATGAAGGAAGATTACAATTCTTGAGGGAATTTTCAGTTAACACACTGGCTTATTGCTTTATAAACTCAATTAATTAGAAATGCAAACCAACCCCCTCTGAGCACAGGGAGGCAAATGTGGCTGTAAATGTGTTTATGAACCGCAGGTGGAGTGCCTGGGACTGCAGAGAACAGCGTGCACTACAACTGTGTCAAAAAAATGCCTAACTTCAGTTTATTTGAAAATTAACCATACAGCTGAATCGCTGCAGGAGGCACTGTGTCCTGGGTGAGAAGGCAGGCAGGATCTCCCTCACACAAAGATTATTCAAAGGAAAGTTCACCGTTATGTTGAGCTTACACATATTTAAAACCCTGCTGAGGTTACACTGATCACAACTGCAGGATCATTCCTGAAATGCCTCAAACGAGTAAACCAAAGCAAATCACACAGGAAATGACCACAGCTATCTAAGAATAAAAAAGAAAAATCCTTCTCTCCAGTGCTTTGTGTAGAAATACTCCATCCCTAAATTGCATCAAACAAGACTTTGAAAGCTACAGGCTGCTGATGTCCAGTGGTGCTCAACTCAAATATTGGGCCCAGATTCTTAGAATTTTGGTACCATCCTCTTTGGGAACAGAGGTTATCATTAAAGCACACAATGTTTAAAATATCAATTGACTCATGCAAGATATCAAAAGACTTAAAAGTCCAAAAAACAGATGTAGATGAACAGAACTGATGCTACTGAAACCCACAGAGGCAGGTGGACTCTTTCAGGACTCTTTCAGAAATGACCACACATTCTGTTGGCAAACTTTTCATTAACAAACAGAACATCTTTAAAGGAACATACTTTTTCCTAGGTTAGTCTCCACCAAATATGATGCATTATACCTAACTGATGACTCATGCTGGCAAATAAAAGCCATTATAAACATTAATCAGAATTGCATCATGTTATATGTCTCAAAATCAGAAAATACTTGGTATTCAAGGAAAACCAAACACTCCTCTGACTCCTTCCACAGCAAATTTTAGTATTGGATGTGGCTGCATTTTGCAAGCTATGAAATGAAAGACTTCCAAATGTTGTAAGGATGACACAGGGAACACCTGCTGTATTATCACATCTATTGTTGTAGGACAGTGATTAGAAAGACAGAAAAAAAAAAAAAAAAAAAAGAAGGTAACAGGGACAAATGACACTGCTCCATCCCCACAAAGACAATATACACTGGTATGAGTCAACTGCTAACTGTCCTGCTTGTGTCAGTGAAAGATGCAGCAGTGCTCACTGGTCTCACAGTCAGAAGCTGATAGCAGACTAAACCACAGTTAAGCTGTGCATCAGGTATGATCCCATCAGTAAGAACATGCATTTCTAGGCAGTTTGCCCTCGCTGCCCTCAGATTTCTTGATGGATTGCATCTCTCTAAATTGCACCACTCGTGCCACTTCTTGGAGCTAAAACCCACCCATGCTAACTGAGCCTCTGCTGGCCCTTGGCTGGTTTATTTAGCTGGCAGGGGAAAACCAGAAGCATCCTGTCAGTTGTTATTTGCACAAGCAGCCAGATTCCCTCGTGCCTGTCAGCACGGCGGCCCGACGGAGGGACTGTGTGCCAAACAGCTCCTCTGCTTCCTCCGAGATGATCATCTGGGCTGAGGAGAGAGATTACCTCGCCCTGCAACCTGCCCTCCCATATCTCCCCACAGCACCGCCAGCGCTTGGAAGGGCAGCTTCAGACAGCAGAGGGCAGCCGCCCTATGAAGAGAGCAGACAGGAGATGGGACTCGAGCTGGTCCCAGAAAAAAGGCTTCAGAAGATGTATTTGTGTCTGTGCTGCACTCTGTAAAGTGGTACTTACTCCACTTCACGTCTCTGAGCAAGCCTCCCACCCCCTCCACTGCTGCTTCTGTGCTGTGATCACATTGCAGCTCCAGGGGATAAAAAAGCCTTTTCACCAGTTACAGAACGCTTCTATTATTTAAGATGTTATTTAAACCTGACAATAAAATACAGTTGTGAGTTTATACCTACAGAAGCTAAACAGTGCTCATTTACCGAAGTCGTCATAGTTAAATTCCGTCTGGAGACATAACTGGTACTAAATCAGATAGGCAGCAATAAATAGAATAAATATGTCTTGCTTATAACAGGATGCGAATTAGCCCACAGTACCTCTTTCTGTGTAGATCCTTCCTCTTAAAAAATAAAGGAATTGAAAAAGCAGTCTACATTTACACAGAGACTCTCCGGTAACGATCTTCTTTCCTTTTACTTTCTCTTCTCATTTGAAACACAATCAAATGGCTGCAAAAAACCCCAGGGTTTAAAAACTCTCTGTCCTCAGCTACTTACTCATGGGTGACCCGGGGAGATGCTCTCAGACTGAGCAGACGGTGAGGAGTGAGCACTTCCCTGCCCGGCGATCACAGAGCAGCGCTGAATGAATTACGATGTGCTGCTCTACTGTAGCTCTGCTCTTCTGTTTCTATTTAAACTGTGTCATAAACTCAATCCACCCTTTGACTCAGCACAAAGCCCTGCTCTGACATCCAGCCTAGGAACCCCCTAGAAGCGGTTTGTACATAATCACACTCGCTAATGGCATTAAAATTGTTTAGAGAATGGAAACAGTGACAGCTACCCCGGGGCTCTCCGTGTTGCTGAAACACTTTACAGACACATTTTCCTGCTTGCTGTGGGCATTCACGCTCCAAGATAGATGCTGCTGAAAGAAAATTGCCTTGTTCAGGATGGACATGAATAATTTTCTAATAAGCAATTAATTTTTCTGCAAGAGTTCATTACTTCAGGGGTGGTTCTTGCAGTAGATGGTTAAATAACAATAAATCATGGATCATCTAGTATGAAAGACCATGAACCAGTCTCCATTACATTTTGAAATGAAGAAAGTTTTTCCACAGCGCTGGAAACATACCAAAAAAAAAAAAAAAAAATCAAGAGAGAACACCAAGACAGTGAGAGAGAAAAATCTGCCTCAAACCAAATCATAAAGGAGAACTAAATCACTGTCAGTGCCGTGCCAAAATACCTCTGCTGCTTTTCCTGGTCACAGAACTTGTTAAAACACAGCAAAAATAATGGAGTTGCACTTTAATAACTACAGAAGCCTTCCTGCCATTAAAATCTAACAACTTTATTAGCCTGCCTGAGATGCTGAGGGTGGTGCGAGGGTTACACTGCCTTACCTGCTAGACTGAGGGCTCTAGGAAGAGATGCATTGGAAAGCTAACTTTGATACTGTTAGCCCACGGGTGTGTCCATTAGCACTCACACCGGGCACAGCGGCTCTTTTGGCACGTGTGCCAGCGACATGCACACACGGAGAAAAGGGAGCATAGTACGTGTTTCCATTTAGTCCGACTCCTAGAACTGCCTCTTTTCACCCTCCTTTTTTTCTTCTTTCTCTTTCCCTGCATGTCACGCAGCTCCGGTATCACAGCACAAGAGCAATCCGCATTACGAGCAGACGGTGACGGTGTCTGCATAACGGGGTGAAGCTGTGGGAAGGACCTGCATCCCCAGGGCTCCCAAACCACCTGAGTGACGGGGCGGCTGCACAAGCTGTGTCCCGGTGGGACAGCACCAACACCAACCCCTCGGACCTCGCAAAAAGCAACTTCCCCAGGCTCCAGCAGCCGCTTCACTGAACAGCTCGTGTCACGTACGTCTTAAAAGGCCACCCAAAAATACCGATGTACTCAAACACAGCGACGAGCCCAAGTACAGCACCGCAGCGGAGCGCTACCTTCAGACGCCTCCAAAGCAAGAACAGGCAGCGAAGGCGACTTTTATCCCAGCTGTTCCTTCCTCAGCCGCCGTGCTTTCAGAGTTGGTCCCCGGCAGCGGCGGCGGACCCGCAGCGGGGACCGGCGGGCAGCGGCCGCGCTCGCCTTTTGTGGCCGGCGCCGCCGGGGAGGCGGTGCCCGGTGCGCTCCGGTGGATGCGAGCGGGGTTAAACATTAAGCCCAGCGCGGAGGGAGCGCTCGCCGCGGGCCGGGACAGCCGCTGCCCCCGCCCGGAGTCCCGCCCGGCCGGGCAGGTGAGGCAGTGCCCGGGGCAGCGCAGGGCGAGCCCGGCGCTCGCCATCCTCCCGCCGCCCCTTTGTCCCCCGGGGCGACCCGCACCCCGCGGTGCCCTCCCCGCCGCCGGGGCCCGCTACCTACCGGCTCCCCGCAGCAGCAGCGGCGGCGGCGGCTCCGGGAGCGGCTCAGGCAGGTGGCGGGGCCGGTGCCGGTCCCATCTCTCCCGCCGCCTCCGCGGGGCTCGGGAGCGCCTCCCTTCCCTCCCTCCCGCCGGGCGCCGGCCCTCGGCGGCGCGCTCGGAGCGGGGCGGGCCGGGGCGGGGCGGAGCGGCGCCTCCCGCAGGTGGATCCGCCGCTGGATCCCGCCGCTGGAACCCGCCCCGCCCCGCAGCGCTCCCGCCCCGCAGCGCTCCCGCCGGCACCGCCGCCCGCCGGGCCCCGCCGCCCCGTCCCTCCGCGCAGGCTGCCCCTCGGGCCGCGTCATCCCCCTTCTAATCCTTTACTGCTATTTCCATTTATTCCCCGAGGAAAAACATAGTGGGTTTTCCCCAGCCTTGTTCTGGCACGACGGGCGGCTCAGTGGCTGCCATCTCGGTGCGAGGTTTTGGGGTGCAGCCCGTGGCACTTCTGCAGCCCCAAAGGCAACAGGTTCTTTGTCCCCCGTGTCTGGGTCCTCAAGTCCCTTTTCAGCGGGTTCCTGGTAACTCTTGAGCCCCCTCGGATTTCCTGCCTCCGCAGGCCATCAGCTCCAGGAGCTCTGCGGTCACTCACCCGTGTTGCCTCATCAGGCGGACATTTAAATTTAATTGTCCGACACATTGTTTGCATGGGTTTTAATTACTCATCCTTCTTGAAGCCTTATAATGATATCTGGCAAGAAAAGAGGAAACCGGAGCCAAGAAGGCAAAAATCCTGCAATGTTTTAACTGCACAAGAAAAAGTCACCCAAGAAAAAGTTTTTTCAAAATTCCCAGCTGATCACCATTATTCTATAAAGGAAATAGAAATTTCATAGGAGTCAATTTATTTACAATCTTGTACTGACCTTTTCAGCCACTGCTGCCCTGACAAAGGATGCAAAGAGCCTGAAGCAAAGCAAAAGCTATGCTTCACCCATGGCCAATCTGTGAAAAGCCAAAATATGCCAGGATTTTACATTCTCAGACATGATTTTTCTCATTTGCATTTGCTTGGCCCTAGCACCATCCCCATCTGAGTCTACAGAAAGATTTTACCAAATGAATGAAAAAAGCACATACTAAATAATTAAAAAAAAAAAAAAGTAGCTACTCAGACAGCTAGAGAATACAACTGGTGTTGGAGAAGGGCTGGTGACACCAGTGCAGCTGCTCTTGGGCCATGAGGGAATGACCATGCAAGTGAGGCAGATCCCTGGAGTATGAGCGGACAAGGCAGCAGACGAGTCAGGCTCTGTCTGCAGTGCCATATTGACCATAGATCCCTTCCTGGTGTGACTCTGTCTATCACATCTGACAACGTGTGCAGGCTCAGCAGCTTTGTCCTGTACACACACATCTGCTGATTTGCATGATGGAAGGGCTGGCCCATGCCTTGTAGGGGTGAAAATGTTGTGAGGTTTGGTTATAGTGGGTCTCAGGCTGCAGCAGGGGTCCGGGTGGGTTCTCATTTCCCATGGACATGCAGTCTCTTGTGTCACGGCTGCCATACGTGCTCCAGGGCCTTCCAGACCCAAATTCAAATAGACACCATCCTAGAGGATATGATGCTGATAGAAGTTTTTACAGCAGACAGGGGGCAGAGATACAGAGATGCTAAGATGTGGGACTCACCTCACTTAGTTGTTTGGGGTGCCCTGGGCTATCCATGATACAATACAGGACTGCAAACCTTCCATGCCTGAAGCAGCAGCAGTGGACATTGTCCTTGCCTGTGGCAGGGTGTCACCAGGAGATCACTGAGATCACTTCCAACCCAAACCATCCTGTGATGATGTGATTCCATGAAGTGTGTCTCTTTGTACAACACAGGTGGATGAATAAGAACCACAAGGCTTGGTGTCTACAGACCCCCTCCTGAGAATGAAACCTTAAAGAAAGTGTTGGGTGAAACTGTCATGACAAAAGGAGTGGTGAAGAATGTTTAGTTTGACATTTAGTTAGTCGACATTTTGTGGTCATAAAAACTTCTGATTTCTAGTAGTTTTAGTGTGTACATTAAACCATAAGCTCAGAAAAGACAATTTGTCTGGCTTGTCTTTAGAAATAATGAACTACTGTCCTGTTCTATTGAGCATCTATAGACAAAATTTTCTGGTTTAACTCTGTAATTCAAAAGAGGAAAAAAAAATTATAGATTTCTTTTTCCCCTATGTGTATAACTCTTAAGAACCAAGAGCTCTGGTAAAATTGAGCTGTACAAGTTTTTGGGTTTTTTTTAAAGAGAGTGAAGTCCAAGATCTGAGTGTTTCTGTGAGCCATTGTTGAAGCAAAGAGCAGTAAGTGACAACATACATAAGGGTGAAGAGGTATTAGCTGTACTATATTGTCAAGTGATAACACACACACTGACTTTTCAGCACCCTGTGAGTAAGCTGAAAATGAAACAGTCTACAGGTGGGAGCCCTAATGAATGGCACTGTCAGGAGATAATTTCTCATGGTTGAAGAAATCTTTTATTCTGCAGGGAAGTGAAGTAACCTGGCATTACGGTCCTGTGCCAGATTCCGCTGCAGACAATGAAGTGATTTCAGAGGCCACTGAGTCTGGAAGGAAGAATGACAACCCACAGTTGGCTCAAATCAGTGTCCCCATTGCTCACTGCTGATGCAATGCAGAAGAAAAGTCCTTGGAGTTCCCCACTGCAGTGGCATCTCTCCAGCCAGCTCCCTCTGCTTTCCCTGAGACACAGACCCATCCTCATGGATGCCCTGATTCCTGAAATGCTTTTTAACTGTCAGAAAAAGTTAAAGGTGAGGACACTCTCTACCCCTTTAAAAACAGTCTATTTTGAAGGCAGGAATGATGCAGACTTGGACTCTGGAGAAGAAAGTACTTCTCTCATCCCCACCCCTACTTCAGCTCAGTATTTCTGGAAGGCTCTGGTGCCACAGTTCCCAAATCTGTGCAACAAGTGTGAGAGCATATCCTATCTCAATGAAGTGTTTTGATGACAATTACAGTGGTGACTCTCCCATGACTGGGTGCTGTGCTGATGGGAAGGGGAAGGACAGGCATTCACCTCAAATGAGCTGCACCACAAGATGAAAACCATTAGGAGAGAAGGAACTCTTCCTCAGGTTTTTCAAGACTGTGGATACAAGGGTGGTGGGGAAGGTACTTATTCCTAGTTCCCAGAAGCTAAATGCTTTTACTGTCAGCTCTGAAAGGAAGCACGTCAGGACTGGGAATCTGAGTTGCTTAGTTTATGGAAAAGATTGCCAAGTGGGAAAACTGACAGCTGAATGTATACAATATCCTTCCTGTGTTGGCAAAATTCTTGTCATCAGCAAGTGACACTGTGGAGCAGCATGGAGGAGGGCCCTGGCCTTGCAGGGACTCCACTGATGATAAAGACAATGAAAAGCTAGTCATGACCACTCTAGGCTCCTTTTGTGGGCCTTAAGGGGCTACCTCAGAGGGCAAACAATCACATGCTAAATAGGATGTAAGTTAGGCCAGACAATCCTTCCTTAGAAATAGTCATTTTAGTCTACTGTCTATCATGAGGTGTTAAATCGACTTTTGGGTGCCTAAAGTAACATGAAGTGAAGCCCACTTGGTGTGTCCATCTTCTTCCTGGATAGATAGGGATATTTGAGCATCTAGTTGCAATTCACTCAGACAGGGGAAGGTTTCTGCTGCACCTGCACATACAACTGCAAATAAAAGGCCTTGCCTGAGAAAACTCAACCTTTACTGAAAGTTTCTAAATCTATTGGAAAACTAATCTACTACTATATGGGAAACACAAGAGGTAACATTGGACTGAAAATACACTAGGTTTAGAAATGATTTTGTAGCTGTTTTTCCCCCCACCAGAATTTTCAGCTTAAAGGCTTAATGGGATTATCCATATCTGTCAGACATGACATGGGATTCTTTAAGTAGATCATATTATGTAGATAGTCTTGATCAAACTATGAGGTGCATAGAAAGAAGAAAAAGAGAATTAATATTTTGAATTCAGTTTGTTTCAAAATTCACAGCTATATATATAATATACACTCTTAACTTATTGAGAATTCCTACTATTCATGTTATTGAAAACATTTATGATGAGTGATATTTAAACTAACAATACCTCTTTAATTTAATGATAGTGAAAACTTGTTGAAACAAAACAGGCATCTGGATTTGCTCCAGCAAGACTGAGATTCTTTTAAGACGCTGCATCTTCACTATTTGAATAAACAGCATATCACTACAGTGAAGTAATTCCAAAATGACACCTTAAAAATAAAACATCCACTGCAACTGCTCTCTCTGAGAACTTCAGGAATTTTCTGAAAAACAGGATCTTTAGTGTTGTGCAAAATTGGATTGAATTCATCGCTACTGTTTTTGTTTCAATGCCAGCCTGTGTCTGTCTGCTGGGTTCAGATTCTGCCGTGGTGCCACTGCTCTGTCTGGTGACTTTGAATCCACTAAGTGCTCATTTAAGAATAGTGAGCTGCAACATTTTCTAAGTGCTGTATGTGACCATGAAGCTACTGTATAATCACACAGTAGTTGAGGATATTAGTAGATAATTTTTTCAGCTCTTTTGAAGATAATACCTCATGCCCAGCTTGTTCTAAGAGAATCCCATATTCAGTATTCATGGCAAAACAGTGAGTGAGAGCCCAACCTTCAGAGCTGGGAAGAGCCTTTCCTGTCCCATTGTGCAGACAGATTTGGTAGCATTTCCAGTGAGATGCTTGAACTCATACTAATATTGGGGCCTGGTCATCTTGCAGCAGCATGAAGGCACCTTGAAGTTAGCAGTGTGACTCTGAAGGACCTCATCATATTTCAGACCATGTTTTAGCTATGGTCTAAACAAGGTGTGTTCTTGTGAAGATCATCCTGCAATGGATGTAGGCCCTGTGGGGACAACAAAATCCAGTCTATCTCCCCATCTTAGGGAGGCAAAGAAAAAGGAGAACTAACCAGGGACTGGGACTATTTTTTTTAATGGTTCTGTCTCAATTTCTTGGTCAAATAAGCATTTGCTAGTAGAATTTCTGTGAGTCAACATAATGTCCCGTGGATCAGTGCTTTTAAGGGAAATGAACATGAGGGCCCAAGGCACACAGGAGGGCT